ACGTTACACGCATGATATTTATCACGATCTGAGACGCGATCTGGAATGACGTATTTTTTATAGGATAGGGTGACAAACGAGCACACACTCCACCTGATTGTAAGTGGTTACTGTGGCCTATAGACATCTACAACCATCCTCGATTACGAATCAGAATGCAGATGCGTTGTCACCCGTGAGGACTAAGATAGAATGCCTCGTTTCCAGTAAAAAGGTTCTCCGGTTCTCTACACTCACCATACGAAACACAGCAGCATTAAGCTACCATTTAACGCTGGTATTCTGTGAGAGCGTGGCCCTTCCTCGGTCGTGCCGACCAATTCGTGCTACAACTATACTACTGATATAACTGCAGCATGGCTCTACCACTAATAAACGCTTGCTTAAAGCTTGTGTGGCTATCATTATGGCAATAATATTAAAAAGGAGAGTGTCGATTTAAACGATTTTTTTTCTAACATCTTCCATTGAAGCATCATTTTTTATTTTTTTATAAATTGGTAGTAACGTCTGAAGTGCCTTCATGCGCATACAATTGTTTTTAAAACCATCATACGATGTGTCGCATTATACGGGAGTTGTTTCCAAATATAATTTAAAAGCCTGTAAATATTTTTGATGGATTGTAGATGGTCCCGTCGAAACAGAATTCTCGATTTCATTTGAGATTTCGCCCGCATCGCTACAAAAGTCGTCCTCTTCCATCGCTTCTCTAGAGCAGACTGACGCGATCCGAATCGCAACAACACCACACGCGCGATATTTATCACGATCCTTAGATCGCGATATGAATTTTTGGAAATCTAGAAATTCTGTGATCCGTATCACGATCCATTAATACTAGATACTACACGTTCAATAAATATCACGATCCTGGATCGCGATCCAAGGATCGTGATAAATATCACGCGTGTAGCATTCGCTATATCGCTAGAAATTTGACGAATGCGTACTAAAGTCATTGAATCGGAAGACAACATTTTTGTAAGAATATTAACAATGCAATATACATTACTAATATTCCCCTTAACCACTCGTGATAAGCTTAAACTGCTTGTGTTGTGTTGTACTGGCGTGAACCATTTGTTGGTGAAACGAGTGGTTCACGCCAGTAGTCGAATGGCGGATTCGAACCCACGACCTTTTTGAGTTCACGGTCCGCGCCCTGCCATTAGGCTACTGTCGTTTAAGATCACTGAACGACATTAAGGTGAGGGAAGCGGTAAGACCGCTCTGCTGGTGGAGGGGAAGTGGAGCAGGGAGCGGTGGAGAGTCTAAAATTGCGTAGCGCCCGCAACGATTAAAAGCGCTTAGAAATTGTCAAAATCATAAAATATTTTTTTTAAAAATTATTGATCTAAGTAATAAAAATAATGAACTAGTAAATTATGAATATTGATGTTATGAAAATATTTGAGTGATTCCCAAACATATAGATTAAGTAATTTCGTTGTAATTTCAACTATAATGATATTTTAGAGGTGTTTCCGCAAATAATTACGATCGAGTCAAAATTATACAATCGTGTTTTTGTGCAATCAAATTCAAGATAAAGACATGAATTTACATATATCAAAATTCCACTTTCGTTAGTGGTGTCATAGTCCTATACTATTCGATGAAAGGAGGTGCATTTTTTTACGGTGTCGCCTTAATTTAGTCCTACAACAGTGAGAACAAGAACGAGAGAGTAGCGGTAATGTCAAGTATTTCTTTGGCAGCTTACTACTGATTGTAAATTCTTGGATCCTCCAAGAACAAGCCACGGACTTATAATAGTAAAATTACAACCTATATACGCTCATTGCTTAGCACAGGGCCTCTTATGTCCGTATTTTTGTAGTTTAGGTTTAGAAATACTTTCTTACGCTACGCTGCTCTATGCTTGTTGACGGATTTGACATATAATTTATAGTGTAAGAGTGATATACGAGCGTGCAGTCCATCTAATGGTAACTGAATGATGTGACCCATAAAAACATACATCTATACTCGATGAACAATCAAAGACAGACAGATGAAGAACCAAAAAATGCCTTGTAAAAGCATAGTCCTTTCCCAAATAGCCGACCCATTCAATCAAACTAAAAATGTTCTTTCAATATTATTAAAAAGAAATTTAATTCTCAGACATGCAAGTGTAAGCCTCACGATGTTATCCTCCACCACCAAGTTGGTGGTAAATTAACAACTAAATTTCCATAAATAATTTCATTGGTGTCAGTGAGGATTGATCCCAGGTTACCCATTTATTTATAAATTTATAATAGTCTATCAAAAGTCCATTTCTGAGCTGATTTCGTATTATTTTGTCACAATGGGAATACTTGCCATACAAATACTTGTTCCGCGCGCGATTCGAACCCTAGGCCTCCAGCACTGCAAGTCATTGCTAAGCCACTGCGCCACAATGTCTTCAAAACGTTCGTAGTATGTTCACTTCTTCTTCTGCTTCTTTATCGAGTCGTAAAATTCCGCTGCTTGACATGTGCTTCTTGTAGGACGGACTTGAATAATCGTTACGCTTGGCAAGCGTCTCGTACTTTTGACGCCGCTGGACGTCAGAGGTCGGCGTATTCTGTCTAAAGTAAACGGGATGGTTTAATCAATCTATGGGAAGACATAAGGTTTTTCTATTATTTATCAACACTTACGACACCCACGGGATGAAATGAGATGAAGGATATGTGTATAACTTCACTGGTGTCGGCAAGAATTGATCCCAGTTTGCTCATTCATTTATTAATTCAAAATAGTCAAAAATCCACTACTGAACACACGCCTTTCAAATGGATTATCATATTGGGAATATTTGTCATAGTAGCCTTAGGTTAGCAAACTCAATTTCGCATTATCAAATGTTATCAGTACTGTCGCCCCTTACAATTTATGCATGATATAAGGTAGTGGATTATCTTACGTCGCAAATGCATGGCAATGTTTCATATATAATGTTGTTATTCACATATCAACGATTTCATGTACAAATATGTGGTACTTAATTATGGAACCGCATTGTACGCTTTGAGTCGCTTAATCTAATTACCTGCGAGTGTAATTCAAGATTTTCATATCAAATGTCAAAGCACATACACATGTCAAATAAACATGTAGCGGTTGCCTGATATTACTCTGAGTATGCTATTAAGTAATATATTTATGGTGCGGTGGCGGCTAAAAAAATCCATGGCCCCACTTTGCTCCCATTTTGGTGCAAAAAAATCGTATAGTTTTTGATACATGGCGGTACAAAATTTACGTTAAAGTCAGGCGTAAAATGCCTAGACAGTGACGAAAAGCACCGTCATGAGCGGGAAACGTAATTCGATCGTCAAACTCTCTGCTAAACTGCAGTGAAACTGTGAAAGGCTAATTTCCAGAATTAAACTTTTAGAGGCCTAAGAAGAAGTAAAATAATGTATTTATAAGAATTTAATTATACTCGTCTCTAGATATAATAATATATGCCCCGCCGGCACCAATGAAATTGTTAATTGCAATTTTAAGTGCTAATTTACCACGTGCTCGGCGGTGAAGGAAAACATCGTGAGGAAACCTGCATGTCTGAGGAATAAGAAAAAAAAATATCGAGACATGTGAAGTTCGTCAACACGCATTTGGGCAGCGCGGCGGGCACTTCCTTGCCCTAAACCCTCTCAGAAATGAGGGGAGGCCTGAGCCCAGCAGTGGCACGTATATAGGCTGTAACTTTACTTTACTTTTAACTTTTTTAACTAGATATAATAAAGGATTAATTTATCGGAAAAAATCACTACATTCTACATCTTATTTCATTTTCCTCCGTTGCCTTACGTACACCCATGGAATAATATGGGGTAGTGGAGTTTTTAAATTTTTTAGATTTTTTAGAAACAGCTCGAAGGATTAATTATGTATACGGCACTGGTGTCGCAAAGGAAAGCAAGTTGCTTTTTTGGTTTCAACGTTTTCGTTCTGGAAATTTTGAACTTCAGAACCAACCCCGTGGACGGCCGGAGACCAAAGTGGAAAATGAGTCAAGTCCCTCCTACAAGAAGCACATGCCTAGCAGTGAAATTTTACGACCCGATAAAATAAACAGAAGAAGAAGTGAACATACTACGAACGTTTTGAAGGCGCCGTGGCGCAGTGGCTTAGCAAAGACTTGCAGCGCTAGGGGCCGAGGGTTCGAATCGCGCGCAGAACAAGTTATCCCTTAATGGGTTGTGAGTGATCTAATCATCATAAAGTTATGAATTTTGGAAAATATACTTATTATGAGTTCTAGAATAATATTTTCTGAGTTTGATATTTATCATTTATTGCTCTAATGGGTTTTACCACGTGGGAACTATTTTCCTGTTGTCCATATAAAAATATATGTTTTTGAGATACAACATGAATATTATTCCCACATCTGGGTAGGGAAGAATGAGAGACATTTCATTACATGTCACCATATTTATTTATGAAAGTTGTCAAAACATTCGGGGCAAATAGACACAAGTTTTGCATATGAATCTGGAGTGTTTCTCTTTTACGCGAGTAGAACAAAAGCGGCATCTGCGGAATTTCAAATTATCTTGAGGTAGATATAGAGTCCCACATTCAGCAGTCTGATTTCATCAGGAACACCGTATACTCCACCCTTTTTGTTCTTAAAAAGGGGAACAGTCACTTTTTCGGCACGGAAGTTGTTTATGAGTACACGGCCAAGTCGGAGACGAAAATCTCTGTGTGTCATAAGACTTTTTTGATGGTAAACAATATATGAGTTCACCACAGCCGCCTCGAAAAGGAACCAAAACAAACGGTGCCAGTATTTTCTTGACTTGCGACTCAGAGAATAGGATGACCTATAATGATCAAATAGATCGACACCTCCCATGTGTTCTGTATATTTCTTTATAGCAACTGGATAAACATTGCTTTTTTGAGCCGTTCTTCTGTGTCCTTTGTATTACTTCAACAGACCTTGGATCATGTGCTGTAGTACTTACTAATACATCTTTTGTATCCATCTATTTAATGCATGCAATAGGATTGGAATATTTGAAGATGAACTCACCAGGACTCAGTTTTAGATCTTTGTTTTGCTTGCTAATTTCTGGTGGCAATCCCTTCCTGTTCGCTCGAATGGTTCCTACAGCATATATCTTCTCTGAATACAAAATCTCCAGCAACGGCAGGCTCGTAAAAAAATTATCAAAAACTATGAAAGTATCTTCTGGAACATTTTGACATAAATCCAAAACAACTCTACACCCTAATCCCTCTTCAGCTGTATTATCTGTTTTGCCTGTATAAATTTGGAACTGATAGAGGTACCCAGTTTTAGAATCGCAACGACACCAGCATTTATAACCTCGTTTAATTGGTTTTTTAGGCATGTATTGTTTCATAGATGATTTGCCTTTAAATTTTATCATACTCTCGTCAATGGATTGATTACGCGATGATGAGCAGTTTTGTTGAAATGTTTCGTTCAGAGCGTCCACTATTGGTCTCACTTTACACAGTTTGTCATAGCTCGGGTCATCGCGTTGAGCTTCTTCTAATATGTTATCAATGTGAAAATTTTCTGTGATTTTCTGAAAGCGTTTGAAAGGCATTTTTTTTATAGGATAGGGTAACAAACGAGCACACAGTCCACCTGATGGTAAGTGGTTGCTGTGGCCCATAGACATCTACATCTCTCCTCGATTACGAATCAAAATGCAGATGCGTTGTCACCCGTGAGGACTAAGATGGAATGCCTCGTTCCAGTAAAATGGCTCTCCGGTTCTCTACACTCACCATACGAAATACAGCAGCATTAAGCTACTATTTCACGCTGGTATTCTGTGAGAGCGTGGTCCTTCCCCGGTCGAGCCGACCCATTCGTGCTACAACTATACTACTAATATAACTGCAGCATGGCTCTAGAAATTGTTAAAACGAACGTACACTAGGGAAAAAAGAGAATTAAGGCTGTGTAGGACAAAGAAACTCAAACAAAAGATCTCAGTGCTGTGGTACGAATTTGTAGCTTTAGCTCTATTTTTCAGATTAGGGCTAAAGCAAAACAAAGGGGATATGCTTGTTTCAGTATAGAATACAGAAACAAATTTTTTAAAAGGTTTTATTGCATTTTATTTATTGACCGCGTAGTGCTATCGTGACCATGATATGCAAATACATGGATGATTAAGATTGCTGGATGAGTTTTAAAAAATTATGGGAATCTCTCCCCAGTACTTTAGAATGGGGCTTTTATTCAATATTGTTACGCGCCTTAGTCGACGGCACTAGCGCCTAGTTGAAACTCGAACTCTCGGTACCTTGCGCGTGTTTCCTTGAATATTCTGGATATTTCCGTGCTAATTTATATAAATAGGCGCTGCAAGATGCGATAGGGGAAGTATTGAATTCGGCGAAGTAAGGCGAAATAAAGTGAATTAGTGTGATAAATTATGAGTGTTTTAAATTTTAATTTGTGTAAAGAAAATTAATGTGTTAATTTAGGTAATTTTATCGGCAATTTTTATTGTCACGAAACTCAAGCTCGTAAAAATTGGTGTCAGAAGTGGGATAAAATCATTCCGATTTTACCTAAGGAGGAAACGGAGGGTGTCCGTACCCGAAGTCAACGCCAGCAGGAGACGGACCAAAGAAGATTTGGTGGTGCAACGCCGCAGATGGCGGAGGGTCAGCCGCCGGCTGCAGGCCCGTCAGTAGCTCCTACATCTGCAGCACCTGACTTAGGTGCTCTGATGGTGATGCTGCAGGAGCAGGCTCAGGAACAGGCTCGCCAGCCGGCGGAACAGGCACGCCGATTGGTAGAGCAGCTGCGGGGCGGACAGGAGGAACAGGCCCGTCGGTTGGAAGAGCAGATGCTCCTCATGAAGGACCTTCACGCTACCTTCGGGAAGGAGATAAAGGAGGTGAAGGATAGGGTTGCTCAGCATGACAACCGCCTGTCGGAAGCTGAAACCCAAATCGCGAAAGCTGAAACCCGAATCGACCAAGTAATCAATCGGGTTGACAACGTAATGGCTGACGTGAAGAAATCACTGGACGAACTCAAACTTGTAGAGGGAGATACAGCTCCCGTAGTAGCTACAACACCTTCGCTACGTGGGTTCAAGGTGCCACCGTTCGACGGTACCTCTTCCTGGTAAGCCTACAAAATCCAGTTCGAGGCTGTTATGAAGGCAAACGGCTGGAATAAAATTCAGGCCATGGCTGCTCTCACACTAGGCCTGCGCGACCAGGCCTAAACAGTTCTGGAAGCTCTCGGTGAGGAAGTGACTTATAAGCAACTCCTTGAGACGTTGGAGGCGATATATGGTGACGCTCACCTGGAACATGTCTTTCATGCGCAGCTTAAAGATCGCGTGCAGCGCATCAACGAAAACCTGCAGGAGTGGGCTCTAGAGGTGGAGAAGCTGGTGCGAAAAGCATACCGGTCTGTACCTGCGCTCATTGAAGGGAACCTGGTGCAGACATTCATCGACGGCATCCGCGACTTGGAAGTCAGAGCTGCTGTGAGGCTCGGGCACCACGAGACGCTTAAGGACGCCTTGGCCCATGCACTGGAGGTGGAAGCCGTGCGGCAGGATCGTCGTTCCCATCGCGTCAGGGAGGTTGCAGCAGCTACAGTTCGCGACCGAAACAAAGGATACAGTCCTAGGTGCTATGGCTGTGGGGAAAAGGGCCACCTTCGATCCAGCTGCCCCAAGCGAACCCTAGAAAGGGAAGGTGAACGATCTCAGAAGGGAAGGGCGGCTAACATCACCGCCCAGCAGCAGAAGGAATACGACTTAACTATCAGATATCGCAGCGGGAAATCTCATGGCAACGCAGATGCATTGTCAAGAAGACCTTGTCCCGAAGATTGCAAACATTGTACTAGGCAAGAGAGTAAGGAAGTGGTATCCGTGAGGATGCTCAGGCAGACCACCTCAGCAACGAGTGCAAGGACAGCTTACAACGTGCACAGCAGGAAGATCCGGACATCAAGCCGATCCTGGAATGGATGAAGGCCAGTGCTCCCAAGCCCAAGTGGGGCGACGTCTCAGCGATGAGTTCGACCACTAAAAGGTATTGGGCCCAGTAGGACAGCTTGCTGCTTCAGGATGGAGTTCTGTGCCGTAAATGGGAAAATGTTCGGGGAGACAGCTGTCATTTACAAATGGTTGTCCCTAAAGCTAAAGTACCGGATGTTCTACAGCTGTACCATAATGATTATTCAGGAGGCCATCTGGGAGTTAAACGAACTCTACTGAAGATCCGAGAACGGTTTTACTGGGTCCACTGTCGAAACGATGTCGAGGATTGGTGTCGCAAATGTACAAGTTGTGCGGCTGTAAAGGGAACTCAGACTCGTAGTAAAGGTGCATTGAAGTTGTACAATGTTGGTGCACCATGGGAGAGAATAGCCATTGACGTGGCGGGGCCGTTTCCGGAGAGTGAAAGCGTTAACAAGTATTTCATGGTTGTGATGGATTACTTCACTAAGTGGCCAGAAGTCTTCGCCATTCCAAATCAAGAAGCTTCAACAGTTGCAGATAAACTAGTTCATGAAGACTTTTGCCGTTTTGGAGTAACTTTAGAGATTCACAGCGATCAAGGAAGGAATTTTTAGTCTCAAATATTCCAGGAAACTTGCCGAGTTATGGGTATTCATAAAACAAGAACGTCTTCTTATCACCCGAAATCTGATGGAATGGTAGAACGATTTAATCAGACATTGGAGAGGTACCTAGCAAAAGTTGTAGACAATCGGCAACGAGATTGGGACAAGCACATACAACCGTTTTTGTTATCATATCGAAGCGCTGTTCACGAAAGTACAGCAGTGACACCAGCTTTCGCAAACTTTGGAAGAGAATTACGGCTGCCTGCAGACCTGATCACCGGGATACCCCCTGATGCTCCACGCAGTATAACCGATTATGCAAATGACTTGCGGAACAAAATTAATGACGTTTATGAGCACGTCAGACAATCGGGCCAGCAAATGTCTGAAAAGATGAAAACCCGGTACGACCGCAAAATGAACAACAAAGGGTTCGACGAAGGTTCACTTGTGTGGTTGCACAATCCAGTCCGCAGCAAAGGGAAATCTCCTAAGCTTCAAGCTAAATGGGATGGCCCGTACCGGATTGTGACCAGGATGTAATCTACCGGATACAGAAAGGCGCAAGAGGGACTCCTAAGATCGTCCATGTGGATCGCCTGGCGCGTTATTATGGGTCCGATAATGCTCGGGACGAGCATGTCTTAAGAGCGGGCAGTGTAACGCGCCTTAGTCGACGGCACTAGCGCCTAGTTGAAACTCGAACTCTCGGTACCTTGCGCATGTTTACTTGAATATTCTGGATATTTCCGTGCTAATTTTTATAAATAGGCGCTGCAAGATGCGATCGGGGAAGTATTGAACTCGGCGAGACAAGCGAAGATTCGGAGCGAAATAAAGTGAATTAGTGTGATTAATTATTAGTGTTTTAAGTTTTAATTTGTGTAAAGAAAATTAAAGTGTTAATTTAGGTAATTTTATCGGCAATTTTTATTGTCACGAACCTCAAGCTCGTAACAATATTTTAATTCCATAAAAAACCTTCGCTTTTAGGTGAATGATACAATACCTGGAAATTGTCGATCTCTAAAATTAGCCGCAAAGTTGTTGTCACTTTGCGTTCCATTTGCCGTCTTAAAAAAAAATCATTATTTTCGAAACATTACACATATTACACATATTTCATTCCGTTATTTTACCTATTATTGATTATGCATCTGATGTTACCCAGACCTTTCTTGATGTCTTCCTAACACGTTGGAACGCCTTCTCAGTAATTCTATAAGGTTATATTTGATTTACGTAAGTATGACCACATATCCAAAAACCCATGTCTTGGGTATCATAAGAAAAGACATGGATGTATATGGAAAAATGACAGAAATTCCTTATGGCTAATGATAAATGGCGGTTCAACTCCCTAAATAGGTGATGTAAATAAATAACAAAACAGGCATGTGTCCATTAGTGACTTTTACGTACCGATAAAGAAGCAGAAGAAGAAGTCAACGTACAATAAGCAATAGATACTTACTCTTCCTAGCTTAACTATGTCCGACCTCAGTCATCAATCCCAACACATTTAGACTTAAAACATTTTCCAGGAGTCTGTCAGGATATTTATCAGTCTTATAGTTATTTTTGCCGTTAGACATTAGCAATCCGCTGTTGTGTCGCGATTTAAGCCTTCATTTTGACCCTATTTTTATGTGCACGGTCTGTCATGCAATCATTTTTTTGTGTTAACTACTTTTCGCTAACGTGTTAGCGCTTTTATAAAAGTTTGCTAGACTACTTGCATTATTTAATCTCAGTTCGACATTTTACGTGAAAAAGCTACGTTGTATATTGTATACTTTTATGTAAACC